GTTGCATCACCGCCTGGTATGGCAACTGCTCGGCCTCCGACCGCAAGGCACTACAGAGGGTAGTGCGTACGGCCCAGTACATCACTGGGGCCAAGCTTCCTGCCATCCAGGACCTCTATACCAGGCGGTGTCAGAGAAAGGACCTCAAAACTGTCAAAGACTCCAGCCACCCTAGTCATAGACTGTTCTCTCTGCTACCGCACGGCAAGCGTTACCGGAGCGCCAAGTCTAGGTCCAAAAGGCTTCTCAACAGCTTCTACACCCAAGCCATAAGACTCCTGAACAGCTAATCATGGCTACCCGGACTATTTGCACCCCCACCCCATCTTTTTACGCTGCTGCTACTCTGTTAATTATACTGCTCAAAAAAATAAGGGAACACTTAAACAACACAATGTAACTCCAAGTCAATCACACTTCTGTGAAATCAAACTGTCCACTTAGGAAGCAACACTGATTGACAATACATTTCACATGATGTTGTGCAAATGGAATAGACAACAGGTGGAAATTATAGGCAATCAGCAAGACACCCCCAATAATGGACTGGTTTTGCAGGTGGTGACCACAGACCACTTCTCAGCTCCTATGCTTCCTGGCTGATGTTTTGGTCACTTTTGAATGCTGGCGGTGCTTTCACTCTAGTGGTAGCATGAGACGGAGTCTACAACCCACACAAGTGGCTCAGGTAGTGCAGCTCATCCAGGATGGCACATCAATGCGAGCTGTGGCAAGAAGGTTTGCTGTGTCTGTCAGCGTAGTGTCCAGAGCATGGAGGCGCTACCAGGAGACAGGCCAGTACATCAGGAGACGTGGAGGAGGCCATAGGAGGGCAACAACCCAGCAGCAGGACTGCTACCTCCACCTTTGTGCAAGGAGGAGCAGGAGGAGCACTGCCAGAGCCCTGCAAAATGACCTCCAGCAGGCCACAAATGTGCATGTGTCTGCTCAAACGGTCAGAAACAGACTCCATGAGGGTGGTATGAGGGCCCGACGTCCACAGGTGGGGGTTGTGCTTACAGCCCAACACCGTGCAGGACGTTTGGCATTTGCCAGAGAACACCAGATTGGCAAATTCGCCACTGGCGCCCTGTGCTCTTCACAGATGAAAGCAGGTTCACACTGAGCACATGTGACAGACGTGACAGAGTCTGGAGACGCCGTGGAGAACGTTCTGCTGCCTGCAACATCCTCCAGCATGACTGGTTTGGCGGTGGGTCAGTCATGGTGTGGGGTGACATTTCTTTGGGGGGCCGCACAGCCCTCCATGTGCTCGCCAGAGGTAGCCTGACTGCCATTAGGTACCGAGATGAGATCCTCAGACCCCTTGTGAGACCATACGCTGGTGCGGTTGGCCCTGGTTCCTCCTAATGCAAGACAATGCTAGACCTCATGTGGCTGGAGTGTGTCAGCAGTTCCTGCAAGAGGAAGGCATTGATGCTATGGATTGGCCCGTCCGTTCCCCAGACCTGAATCCAATTGAGCACATCTGGGACATCATGTCTCGCTCCATCCATCAACGCCACGTTGCACCACAGACTGTCCAGGAGTTGGCGGATGCTTTAGTCCAGGTCTGGGAGGAGATCCCTCAGGAGACCATCCGCCACCTCATCAGGAGCATGCCCAGGCGTTGTAGGGAGGTCATACAGGCACGTGGAGGCCACACACACTACTGAGCCTCATTTTGACTTGTTTTAAGGACATTACATCAAAGTTGGATCAGCCTGTAGTGTGGTTTCCCACTTAAATTTTGAGGGTGACTCCAAATCCAGACCTCCATGGGTTGATACATTTGATTTCCATTGATAATTTTTGTGTGATTTTGTTGTCAGCACATTCAACTATGTAAAGAAAAAAGTATTTAATACGATTATTTCATTAATTCAGATCTAGGATGTGTTATTTTAGTGTTCCCTTTATTTTTTTGAGCAGTGTATTTATGCATAGTCACTTTATCTCTACCCACATGTACATAATACCTAAACTACCTCAACTAGCCGGTGCCCCCGCACATTGACTCTGCACCGGTACCCCCCTGTATATAGCCTCCCTACTGTTATTTAATTTTACTTCTACTCTTTTTTTCTCAACACTTTTTTGTTGTTGTTGTTTTATTTTACTTTTTTATTAAGAACTAAATGCATTGTTGGTTAAGGGCTGTAAGTAAGCATTTCACGGTAATTTCTACACCTGTTGTATTCGGCGCATGTGGCAAATAACATTTGATTTGATTTGATTTAATTGTTAAATGTCTGTCACTGGCCAGTCTTGACAGTCCCTTTTAGGTTGCATTCTAGTTCACCCAGCAGTACTAGCTCACTTAATAGCAGCATTTAATTACAGAGGAATCAACTACACCACAATCAACAGTCCTCAGCAAAACATCTACAAACTATAAGAAGTACAATCTCCTCTTGTAGGGTGGGGGCGGGTGTGATGGAATGTAAGCATTAAACACTTTTATGCCATTTTCAGCAGTTCAAGGGTTTTCAGTGAATAATATTATCTCATAGCCTTCACTAAGCTTTGACCACCTTGGGCCTACCTGCCTATCCTATTGTGTGCCTCAGCAGACCAGAAGGATGAGAACGAGAGAGAGAAAGAAGGGGGGTGTATTTGAGGCGTGTATTCGTATTCTGTGCTCTAGTTGCACCCACTTCCTCTATGGTAACAGCTGTCAAAACTTTTCTGGATTACAGCACACCGCAGAGCTACGGCTCGTATTAGAGCCTGGTACTAGGCAGGAAGTATTGAGGGGTGGGGCTGAGTGGGGAATATTCAGGCCACACTGTTCCTCAGGGCCAAGGTGAGTAGGACCCTGGGGAGGCATATCTAACACCAGGGCCCTCCTGCTTGTAACTTTAGTGGCTGGGTAATACAACTACACGTGTTGAGGATATCTCTGGGCTTTTCCAGTGATGTTTGAGGTATTAGAACAGATACACTCCCTGTGATTTAGTTTTTTTTTTTTTTTCACTGACACAGATGCAGGGACTCAAGGTCTCTTTATTTTGGATTAGGTCAGGGCTTCCAGGCATGTGCACATTGAGCCATGAGAAGCTTCGTTCACGAAGGTGGTTGAGAAAGAAAATTCCCTTAATGCTTTACACATCTGGTAGGGGAATTGAGTTTGTTTAAATAACACTAGTTCAACGGGGGAGATTGTATCAGTTTTGGCAAATGTGTCCCGTACTGTCTAAACCAAAATATAGTGAAATGTTTATATTGATATCCTATATTAATGAGCTACAAAATAAACGTGTTTGACTTTCTGGTAAGCGGACACCATGACAGATTGAAATGTATACTGTACGATAAAAGAATATGGTCGTAGGGATTGATAATGGATTTAAAATGCTACCCTTGGGTTCGATGGAAGATATTTGAAATGTCATAGCAAATAGTGGGTGAGTCTCCATGATGTATATGGTAATCCAACAGGAGTCGGTATCAGATTCTAACAAACACTTATCTCAACAAGACATAACACGTCGCAGACATGACCTTCCTTGTCTGTGACATCACTCCACAACAGGGGATGTACAGCAATTTTCCAACTGAGAGTGGCTCTAATAGTCGAATGTACTTGTCTTTAATTTGATGACGGAGGTGTGTACCTCTCCGTCTCTTTAGTTTCACTACTCTCAACCCCTTAAGTCTCCAAAACTCTGAACAGCTTGGAAATGCTATCGCATAGCATATTGAAACCTATATCAACAAGTTGCTTTGAGTTATGGGTAGAAGGAAATTTGGATTATTAGTGGTATATAACTTTTACTGTTTGCTTGCTTAGACTTGGACCAAGCTCCTCTTAGCAATGGCTATATAACCACTGGGTATGAATGAGACCAAACATTCAAATCATTTAAAAATTCATTTATTATTTCAGGTTTTCTTGCCTTTGTTATACAAAGATGTTAAATAACTTAAATACATTCTTACCAGTCATTCGTGATCTGTTTATACCTACAAGCTATACACATGAGGTAGAGGACAATAATTTAGGTTCCCATAAGCCATGAATAAGTGAACATGGACAAAGCTTTGCTGGTTTAGTATTATCACAAAGGGAAAAACATGTTTGTTTTGTTTATTGGCAAGCACAGCACAAATCCTAACACAAATGTACACGGTGAATGTGACCCTCTCATCAGAGCATACCAAAAGTTGAATGAGTTCACACCAATACCACTGGTCAGTATGTTTATCTGCACAGATGGCTATGTTACGGGGTACAGACAGAACCCATATACCTCTCACCAACCCCTTAAACAAACTGATCATGCTACAAATCGGAATGCTCAAAAAAATACTTGCGCAGTACTGTGCAATGTCAATAAAAAAAAAAAAAAAGCTGATTATGATCCATTTAATTGCCTTTAGATGTGTTGTATATGTGTTCTATATAACAGTTGAAAAAGGGAATAGAAGTATTTAGTTACTACATTTGTAAGGATTTGTTTTGTGCTTGGGAACTGCAAATGTTATGAGTTATCTATAAAAATAATTATGCTGACTTTATAGAATACACTGCCTCTTGAAGCCTCCACCCCAAAGAAGCAAAACACCCATACAAAACTAAAGAAAAAAACAGAGTAAAAAATACAGGTATTTAAAATCAGTTTTGACTTTACGTTCTTTACATTAAACACATGCTCATAAAATATTTCAAAATAATTTATCTTTCTTTTATTTTCATTTTTCCTACAAAATAGATTTTTATACATGATCCACTGACAACTACACAGTGCAGAGCTATGAGTTCAAAAATAGAATATGAAGGACTAAGACAATGACATTGAAAAACAACCGTTATATCATGCCGTCCTTTGTCTTGAAAATCGTGTGTATATGTACAATATAAAACATACAAAATACATGCAATGTGCATACTGTATTCCTCTCAACATGACTCTGTTGACCTTTTGTATACGTTCAATAAATTACCACTGTAGAGAACCAGTCTTGTGCAGAGGAGTGTGTGTAGAATACACTCACCAGAAGCTGTGGGAAGCAGGCATTTATGCTCAGGCTCTCAGCATAGCCATTATGGTTTCCATGTAGCGTGTAAAGTTCTATGTATATGTTTTGACCATTCTTTATTTGGCATGTTTGGAATTCAGCTCTAGAGGATGAACCAACCAACCTTCGCTAGGCTAGACTCCCTTCTCAGAGCATGCTGCTTTTCCTTGATCAATCATGGTGTGTTGAATCAGATATAAATCCTGTGAGTGTCACCGCTTCTATCTAACATAGCATGCCAATGCCCTCAAAGATAGCTTGGACCACAGCTATCTACTAATGTTTTTCACTTACTGATGATCACTTACAATCAAGTTTTCAGCAGCAATGCACTCCATATTCATGATTTAGCTGTAGCCTTATGCATCAACTTATATTTTACCACTTGCCTTTCCAGCATCACATGTCTTGTTCCTAACCTCCTTATTGCTACCAACTTCCTCTTTACTTGCCTGTGAGATTTTACCATGTGCCTCACTCTTGTCTCTATACCACAGGAGAATAAACCATTGTTATTTACAATAAACAAAAGGAAAATAAAAACATCTGCACTGTATATATTCATAAATACAGGATCTTTAAATACTTTAAAGGGAAATTATAAAGGGCTTCTGGGGCTTCAGTGCGTGAATGGGGCTATCTTACAATGTTGGGTTCCTCACTCAGTAGTTCATTCTCACCCACATAAAACAGGCAAAGGCTGTATATCTAAAGGGAATCTAAAGATGACTTTGTATCTCATGAGTTATTGTAGGTGTTTTAGAGGGTTGGCTCTGCCTTTTCCACCAGTAATCTGAAGCATCAAACATCCAATATTACATTTTAGTCATGTACAACATAACAGTAACCTGCCTGAAAAAGAATTACTGTCAAAACAACACAAAAGGAGATTGTACCTTTGCAGTCGTGGAGTTGTGGTAGCCATGCCCAAAACAATGGATAGACAATGCATAGGCATACAGCTAGAGCATACATTTGCTTTGTAGTTGCAAACACATTTTGTCACCTTATTATTGTGAGCTTCAGGACTATATCTAAAATACCAAATTTGCCTCAGGGTGTTAATGTTTAAGCCATTTTTCCATTGGACCATACTGTTCATTTTCAACCTCAACCATTCATCTTTTTCAATCAAATGGCGGGTGTAGAGAGAGGAAGGAAGGATATGAGAGAGTAGGTATGGGGGTTACATTTCTCCTGTTCCCCACAGTTTACTGTTTCTTTACAACTTTATAGTAGTATTACTAGCAAGATTTGCTTTTCTTTTTTTAAATAGAGGGCTAACTAAGTACCAAGAAGCTGTTATAGTTAGAGCACTATTCAGCTGATTGGAAGATGCATTCTCCACTGGTCAGGTGGTCTCCTGTTGTCACGGTGACAGTAATAGACACTAAACTCAGAAAAGCAAGGTCATTCTCTCATTGAACTTTCATTACATACAGTTTTTCTTTTTTTTCTTTTTACCGTAAGTCCAAATAGGTATAGTGGTTTCAGTTATTCCCTGAACATTAGTTGAGTTCGCTCAAGGCCAAGAGTAGCCTAAAATGACTGGCAAAATGTATTCACCAACAATTTCACTCTAGTGTAAAAGAATCAAAGACAAATGAATGTGTTTTCTCTCTTCGTGAAGGAGTAGTCCCAAAGGGTCCATAAATTATCCACAGAGCGAGACAAAGGACACAAATGTGCTGCTTTCCAAAAGGCCTTGTCAAAAAAACAAAATAAAAAGCAAAAGAGAGCGAGAACACACAAACAACAAAACATTTGTGTGGTTAGTGGTTTGTTTAAACATATTCAGATAAGTAGCAAGTGTATATAATATCATTATAATACAATTTAATTTATTTACATATGCATACACACAATGCTGTGTGCATGTAAATATGTGTGTGTAGAACAAATCTTACACCCTGTCTTCTTAACAGTTTCTGAATATGGTTACCATGATTGCCATATGAGTTGTAATTCCCCCCCCTCCCCCCCCCGTACCCTCACTCGCCAACACACACACACACATTTCTACATTGGGCAAGGCCCAAAAGCCAGTCTTTTACTATTATGGTCATTGTATTGGATCCTCATTAACAGCATGCTCACCAGAGACAGCTGCCAAGTGCTGCTTTTTCTCACCGACAGATCTGACTGGATGTTGAATAGGTGAGGTAGCCTTTCTCCAAAGCTCCAACTCTGCAACCAGAAAACATTAGACCCATGTTGACCCTGTTGTCAGACAAGGCCAATCTCCTCCTGCAACCCCAATCCCCATTGGCTGGGGCCACAGGGCATTAAAACAAAACCCACAGAACAGAAAATCCCTCAAAGTGCTTTTAAAGGCTCTCCATCTCCATCGTCTTGCTCTCTCCTCTGCCGCAGAACTCTCTCTCTCTTTCTGACAGCAACAAGGGGCGAGCAGGAAGCTACGACTGGGCTAACCTTTACAGGTGTAGACCTCCTCTCTCTGTGTACACTGCTTGCATTCGACGTAGCAGCACCAGCGCACCTGACACTGGCATGGCCGGGTCACCACGCGGCTCTGGGTGTTGTGGCCCCTGCCGCAGCATATGGCGTCGCAGTTCTTGTCCTTGTAGCATTTCCTGGCCGAGGTGCCCGGCGAGTACTTGCTGTGCCGGCAGAAGCTGGGTGAGTCCTCAATGTGGAGCAGGTCCATGGTGCGTGGGATCGGGTCATTGCTGGGGCCCGGTGGGGGCTGCTCCTGTTGGGGCCGGGCCTGGGAGATTTCCCCCTCCCCCGTGGCCTCGTTGGTGGAGCTGCCCACCTTCAGAGAGGTCTCATAGCGCTGTTTCAGCTGCTTGCCGATCTCGTGGAACGGTGAGAGCTGCCTCCAGCACGTCTGGACGGTGCAGGAGCCTGAGACGCCATGGCATTTGCAGGTAGTCTCCACCCCGGCTTTGATCACCTGATGGTGGGAGAGGAGAGGAACATACTGACAGTCAACCACCACAGGGCATGAAAGGGACTGCCTGAAACGACAAAATATTAACTTTGGCCCACTTTGTACTTTGTATGGTAAGCAAGGTTTCAAAGAACCTAGACTCCCCTGTAATTTCTGCAAGCACAATGGGTCTATGTAATGTCCTAATATCATAAGAAATTCCTCCAATATGAAGTCTTTACATACACAGGACATATTAAAATGCGATGAGAACAGAGGCCATAATTATATTTTCGGTTTATACTCATACATACCACAGAGTTAGATTATCTAGAGCCTCTACTTATTGCTGATAAACTGTAATTAACATAATAAAACATTACATGACAACAATGTCACATTGTTGTCACTTCCCAACCAAAGACTCTTAATAGAAAATGTTGTACACTATAAGCAAAAGTTGAAAAGATCATCTTTGTGGGTGGGAAGGGACGATACGGACTGTTATGATAACTTTCGGTAATAGAGTTTGATTAAAGCCATCATGGTTATTACTAATAGCAAGTTGAGGATACTCTGAGAGGCACTTTTCCTGAAGAAAAGATCCATTGAGTTCCTCGGCTATGGGAAAGAAGGAGACAGAATACTCAGAACCTGGCCCCTGTTCTTGGTTTGTTTTAAGGTATGTGGAAGACAAAAAACCCAAGGTAAATCTCTTTCACCAGGCCAACTTCATAACACTACAGTTTTGATTCAGTAGGGGGGAAACCTTAGGCTAGCAACTGTAACGCTAAACTAATCAATTTTACGTAAAATATGTTGAGGCCTGAAGATTTCTCATAATGCATATAACGGGATCTACTCAACAGATGACATGGAATATGGACTCAGTTGAACTTGAGAGAACACCTCTGACCATTAATGTTCGACAACTTTTAACTTTGGGGGGTGAATGGGTGCGTTTAAGGCTCCTTGAATAGTACACGTTGCGACATTGCTTGAACTGTCTGTGGCAGGCAATGGTTCATTTGTGTACAGCTCAGTCAGCAGCAACCGACCACAACGTTAAAAGGTTTTGTGTTAAAATCCATAACGCATATTCTCCAGAGGAGGCATGGAGTGGACAGACAGTCTCTCTCTGGTTCTGTTCTCACACACTGGGAAACAGATCGTGGAATAAGAAAGAAGTGCTGCATATTCATCACACTTGCAGTTTAGTTCAGGAAAATGTCAGCTTTAAAATGTTCTAGGGATGCAGAGGCTGGCACATTCCAAGATTTGTGCTCCATATGGGACGTGGTACACCTCACTAAATCTGCAAATAAGAAAAAACCTGGACGAAAACAGTGTTGTAAATCTTTTATCACAAATAAAATAACCTGAGAGAATGGATTTGGAGAGCCAAGCTGAAAAGGAAGAGCACACCACGGGTCTTCGGGGAGAGGTTTGTGTCTGCTAACATTTGGGGAAGTGTGCTTCTGCTATGATTTATATTCATACTAAAATGAAAATGGCTACAATATGAACAAATCTGAGTAAAGGTAGCAGATCAAATCAAATCAAATTGTATTTGTCACATGCGCCGTATACAACATGTGTAGACCTTACAGTGAAATGTTTACAAGCCTTTAACCAACAATGCAGTTTTAAGAAAGAATACCAAAAAAAATCACACAAAAAAATACATTATAAAAGAATACGAAATAAAAGTAACAAATAATTAAAGATCAGCAGTAAAAATAACAATAGCGAGATTGTTTTGTCGTGCTGTCTTCACGACTGTCTTGGTGTGCTTGGACCATGTTAGTTTGTTGGTGATGTGGACACCAAGGAACTTGAAGCTCTCTGAGTTTGCTTTGGCTTGACAGTTTAAGAGCATTCTCTTTTCTTTTAAAATCACGTCCAAGCTGAAAAAAACACCCTCACTCCCTCACCACAAACAAATGTTGAATCTCGCTAAGGCACAAAAAAAGGCAATTAACTCTCTAATTTTAGAGGGAAAACCAAAGGTTGATTGATGTGTGGCCTCTGATTTGATTGAATGAAGCAGTCAATTTAAGTGATTTAGGCTGGTTTTTTATCTGACCATTAAGTGGGATGCTTGAGGATCTATATTATTTGTTTAATAACCACAACATGTGGGTAAACGATTCTCTGTCGACCATGGGGAATGTAGCTGTAAAAATTATGTTATTGTTATTCCTCTCATGGTCACATTAAATTCCTCTCCGGTCAATTTCACTGGTTCTGGTCATTTTGCTGTGTCTTTAGACAGGTACATTTAGATAACAATAATTTACCAACCTTACATTATATAGTTGTCTGTAGGAGATTCAGAGTATATTCACCCTAGAATACACCCACAGAGCTTAACCATCTCAAGAGAGGACAACATAGGCCTACATACTTAAAGGCCTACATACTTAAAGGCCTACATACTTAAAGGCCTACATACTTAAAGGCCTACATACTTAGCTGTACAGGGCCCAGGTATAGCAAACTACACTGCCAGTCAATCAATCAATCAACCAGCCAACCCCAAAATATTCATAGTTATTTTTACAGCAAAAGTTGTGACAAAGGTCTAATTATTAGTGTATCCCATGAATCAACAAGATTAAATGTACTGCGTCATCCAACATGGCTCCACTCCACACTCACCTTCATGCCCACGTTAGTGTTGTGCATGTCCACGCGGGCACGCAGGTCCTTGTTGGAGCGTTTGCCAAGGAAGTCCTTGACAAACTTGTTGCTGTACTTGAGGTTGTCACCACAGCCGCCCCACTGCCAGGCCTTACGGTTCTCCAGGTCTGGGGCTTCATCGCAGGTGCAACGCTCCATCCGCCCGGCGCTGCATGCCTTGGCCATGGCATGAGTCAGGCCTGCTGAGGAGACAGCATACAGGAAGGCTGTCTCCTTAAAACCTAGAGAGCGATGTGGAGCAAGAGGAAGGATCAGATATAAGCTACCAGCTTCCTACTAGACACTCAAAATGAGCAATTGAAAGTTGTCATTATTGGGAAAATACCCTACAACTTTCTACTGTGCCATCTACTATGGCCTCTCTCTACTGTACTATCTCCTATGGAATTACAAAAATGTATTTCCACCTCCAACCATGAAAGTCAGAAACCAGTTATCTGTCAGTTGAAAACATATTACTTCTATATGAAGTTCGGATGCTTTTCTTTCCCTACCTCTCTTTAAAATGTTGGCTCTGTAGCGTCCCTCTAAGGTGCAGTTCCACCTCTCAAAGCGGAACTGGTACTGGCACTCCAGGGCGCTCATGCTTATGGCCTCCATGAGGGTCTCGGCCACGCCCGGGTCTCGTCGACACATCCGCCGCTGCTTCTTCTCCAGTTTGAGCCGGTCACACAGCTTGTAGTGGGCCCTTCCCACGTTCTCCTCAGGTTGAGAGCTCAGCGGTAGGATGGACAGGGGTTCATTACCTGTCAATCTGGGGAGAGAGAAATAGACACCCCTTAGATACTGTCAGGTGCTGCTGCTGTGCTCCTTCCAGCAACATTTCGACCCAAAGGTCTTCCTAAGGCTTATTACAGGCATTACCTGTCAATCTGGGGCTGAGAGAGGGAGATGTTGTACTGTAACACACTGTTTGGAGGGTTCGGAGAATGAAAAATAATTTATGGGAACACTCAGTAAGTACAGTGGACTGGAAATATGAGGAAGTGGTATGCTAAGTCCCAAATATAGAATGCTGACCTTTATGGTCTAAGTCAGAGCTGGTTAATATTCAAGGGAATTTGGCTGCAATTGTTTGAAGGTTGCAATTGACTTAATGGTTAATGTGCAGTTGAATGCAACGCTTTCTAGAGATTGAGATCAACAATCCCCATCGGATAGGTGTGTTTGGGCCTCCCGAGTGGCGCAGCGGTCTAAGGCACTGCATCGCAGTGCTTGAGGCGTCACTACAGACCAGGCTGTGTCACAGCCAGCCGTGACAGGGAGACCCATGAGGTGGTACACAATTGGCCCAGCGTTGTCTGGGTTAGGGGAGGGTTTGACCGGCAGGGATTTACTTGTCCCATCATGCTCTAGCGATGCCTTGTGGCGGGCCGGGCTTTTCTTCCGACACATTGGTGTGGCTGGTTAAGCGAGCAGTGTGTCAAGAAGCAGTGCGACTTGGCAGGGTTGTGTTTCGGAGGACGCATGGCTCTCGACCTTCGCCTCTCCCGAGTCCATAGGGGAGTTGCAGCGATGGGACAAGACTGTAACTACCAATTGGATATAACGTAAAAGTAAAAAAATTAATAAAGGATATGCTGTGTATATAGCACATTCTCAGCAGCTGAAGAGCATTCTGTGCTGATTTGTCTCTTTTAAGGGTAGCTACCAATAAGGTTGCTCGTCATAGCATCACTGGCTAGCCATCTAGCTAGATTGACGCAGGTTGGTTATAGGACATTAAGGGTGCGTTTGTAAATTCACTCAGGAGTGTAAATTCAGAATGTTGTCAAATTGTCCGTTAGTAAATTCAGCGCGTTTCGCTCTCGGAGTGTTCAGAGCGCACACTGGACGCTCTGGCGGAGTAGGGTTGAGATTGAAAACAATGGTCCCACACATTCAATTTGACCGTCACACCACAGGCATGCTAAATAGTAGCCAACCAACAGATACATTGCTTAATATTGACATATCCCGGGGACTAGTGACTGTCCCTCACGGAGACCAGCGGTGTATAGATTTAAACATGATCACACATCGGGCTTTACACTCGTTGTAGAATCCCCATACAAACTTCCAGTATTCAGGACCCTAAAGCTGCAATTCATTTGAAATATAATGAGTCTAAGCTTAGTTTCTAAACACGGTATAGGAGAACATGTGGTAGAGTTGACTCCTTTTGTCAGCTTATTTAAAGGAAGCATATATAAAACACACAAGCTAGCCCCGGGTCTGCCACATAGCTGGCAAAACCCTCCCTGACCGACTAGCGTTCTGAGGTTGCGATGGATTGGGAAAGCAGAAGCATTACTTTCTCAAAAACACGCAGGGGACATGACTGTCAGCCTGTGACCATTTTGGTCACACCATCTGACAGGATTGGCAGAGTAGTTGTTCATTATGTGCAATTTCAGGGCCTCTTTTACACTGTTAAAGTAAAAGAGAAGAATAAATGGATTTACAGAAGAACTCACAAACACATTCCTGCAACGGGCCCGGGCACATAATGCCATTACTGAAAGAGTTTGATGCCTTTTAAATGTCAACGTTTCCCTGCTAATATTAACACCTGCTAATACTTGACAACAATCTGAGGTTGTCCTGACAACATTTACATTTTAGTCATTTAGCAGACGCTCTTATCCAGAGCGACTTACAGTTAGTGAGTGCATACATTTTCATACAACAACCATAAACAAGGGATAAACATATTAGATTTATTCTGGAGGTGATAACGATTGGTTGTTTCTTCTTCTCTCCTCAATATAACTTAACTGCTCTGCTCAGTGCCACACTGTGACCTGTCTCTGGCCTCTGCCATCAACATCTTGACATTTATGCTGTTGAGCTTTAGTGAACTTCCCGTCCATCAATCTTAATAAAACAGCAGAGGTTTATTTTGTCTAATTGCTTTAGCATGTTACCAGACAAAAATCTGAGGAGAGGATCCTATTTTAGTTTAATTGTCATATCCAAGTGAATCTGGTGTGTCTCATTCACAAAACAATGCACTGATTATGCCATGTACAATGAGAGGCCCATGCAGACATCACCAATCACATGGGCAGAACAGGAAGTGATAGCTAGTCTAATGAGTAACTATGAACCGTACAGTAACTTTTCAGTGAGGAAGGATTCAGGCCTGGTCTGTAAGAGTAGTACACAAGCTAATGAGAGAGAGAGTGAGCAAGACACAGCCAGACAGTCAGACACGATTAGCATTTAGCTAGCATGTTACTGCTGCCAATGAACCAGAAACCTATTCAATTCCATTTCTAGCCCATGAGTCATTTGGGTACAACTATTAACCAAATCACAGCCATAGAGCTTCCTTCCAGATGTCCCAGACATAGACCGTGTTGCAGTGAATGTCAATGCTGATTGATTCACTGTCTGTACCTCAAGAGAGTTACTGTGTACTTCTCCCATCTGTGTACATTTACATTACATTTACATCATTTAGCAGACGCTCTTATCCAGAGCGACTTAGATACTAGGGGTAGAAGGATTACTTTATACTATTCCAGGTATTCCTTAAAGAGGTAGGGTTTCAAGTGTCTCCGGAAGGTGGTCAGTGACTCCGCTGTCCTGGCGTCTTGGGGGAGCTTGTTCCACCATTGGGGTGCCAGAGCAGCAAATAGCTTTGAATGGGCTGAGCGGGAACTGTGCTTCCGTAGAGGTAGGGGAGCTAGCAGGCCAGAGGTGGATGAACGTAGTGCCCTCGTTTGGGTGTAGGGTCTGATCAGAGCCTGAAGGTAAGGAGGTGCCGTTCCCCTCACAGCTACAGGTCTTGTAGTAGATGCGAGCCTCAACTGGAAGCCAGTGGAGTGTGCGGAGGAGCGGGGTGACATGAGAGAACTTGGGAAGGTCGAACACCAGACGGGCTGCAGCGTTCTGGATAAGTTGTAGGGGTTTAATGGCACAGGCAGGGAGCCCAGCCAACAGCGAGTACTTCTCCAGTCAATGGTGCTACATGTTCACTTTTACCTAATTTGTCTTCTGTCACCATTCAGATCCAAATGGCCTCAATGAAGAGGTCACAGAGGTCATGTTACAGAGAGAGAAATGTTTCAGAACTGATAATAACTGATTGTGAAGTGTTTCCCCTGATCTCAGATGGCAGCGTACCAGGGAGATATTGTGTGAATTCGGTCAATTCGGGAAAAGTTGGATATTTACATTTATTTTCACACATCGTATAGCCGGAAATGACTGGTAAGGCATTCCGGATTATAGATTTGTCTTCGGTGAAGGGAAAAGTTTCTCGGAAATAGGTAATCCAGAGGGCTGGTAGATATGTTTTCGGGGTACATCGCCATCAGCGAGGGAAGATCAATGTGTAACATTACAGGTCTCCCGGAGTCTCCTAACTTGTCTGACCACTATGGATTTTTTAAAAATGGAAACCTGGCAAGCTGTGTCTTGACAGAAATGGTTCTCCTTGCTGGCTTTAGGGAGGAAAAGAGCTAAAGTACGTAGTAGGGTACTCTGGCCTGACTGTGTCCCATTCTGCACTGTATGTATAGAGATACTCCAAACATACAAATGCTATATATATCCATCTTAATTGTTATTCCTTTTGATACTATGTGTATCCACTATGTCTACAACACCGTGAGGAGAAAAATAAGGAACTCAAGAGCAAATTGTACCAGTTGACAAACTGTTGTAATCGTGATTGACAACATTTCCACAACATTTCTGCTGTGGGCTGAGGCTCAATATTTGAATGATTGAAACACCATTTAGAGTACCTGGCTAATTCATTTCTACATGTCATCAGGAGAGCCAAGAGAATGTAAACTCCAGCCATCACTCAACAAGTCATATGATATCTGCCGGAAATGTAATAATATACAAACTTTACTGAACTTAGATATCACTGGAGAAATGAAATCAGCAATGTTACCCAGGATATGCAAAGTGGAACAGATTATTCATGAAGCTTGGCAGCCACAGTAAATTAAGCATCAGTTTTTTATTTTTTTTATTTTACAATTTCTAGAGATTTTACAGTTTTATGCATCATGCTTCTGAAGTATGTAAGAGTAAAAGAAACAGCAACCGGGTGCTGATAAATAGCCTATGTAATGTATAGTAGACAGTAATTAAATTATTATTATGTTAGGTACAATGGTTGCTAATGGCATAACTCTAGAATGTTTACTACCTGATGCACTAAATATACATGGGTGTGCCATTATTATTAATAACAACAGTGGTGCAACTCCACAGACAAAAAGGTTGTCTTAATTTTCAGAATCCTATCACCATGACGTGTTACATTCCTCAACCATTACTGTCACTATCACAGTCTCCTTAGTGTTATATCTCCATAGAGCACAGATGGCTGCCTGCCTGCCTGCCTGGCCCTCGAAAACAAGAGTAAAATAAAATGCCATTTCCCAAAAGCGTCTTTGTGCTGTGACATCTGTCTGTCTGAGACAAAAATATACTCTGAAGCTGGAGGGAGGCCAGAGACAACACAAATCCTTTGGACTACTGATCTGCCTGCCTAGCTGTTACTGACTTCCACACAAAGGCATATTTTTTGCCAGTTACCAAGAAGGCTGGGGGGCAAAGTGTGGATGGGAGGAGAAATTTGAGAGAATGGAGAAACACTTCTTCAGGTCTCGGGAGAAGAAGCTAATGTGGCTCCACTCTTGTGCATGTTTCCACTCTGTGGCAGACCTAGTGTATAGTCAAATGGTATCACAGATGTGCTTTAATTTAAGTTTCCCCGTCTTCTAAAGGATTTCTTATATCTAGCTGAAGGGAGGCTGTATTTTTTTGGTTTTAAAACACTGATGGAAATTGATTTTTTACTTCTTAAAACTATCCTAAACATGCACAATGGTGGTTATAGTGCTTTCATGAATTGTGCTCCTGCATATTTCCTAACAAGCACATTGTGTTAGACGAAGAAGGTGAACACAAAACCATACAGGTAAACTAGCTAGCTGGTACTGGGTCCCTAAAGATCAGCTTACCTCCATAATGTGACCCAAAAGAAACCCAACGTCACACCCACTCAGACAATGCTGAGCAGAACCAAGTGTCACACACTCAATAGGAGCACTGCTGGCTTCTGCAGAGCGAACTAATTAAACTCACTTAAAGCAGATGATGGAGTCAAAAGGAGAGTACAGTGCACATCTTTGGTCAAAAAGCCTTTATTCTAAATCCTTTTTTGGACACAGGACCTCATAGCTTCTGAGGAGGAATAATGGAAAGCCTAACCACAATGCCTTAATCTCTATGGTCCTGAAACATGTACAAACTACAGTGTGTACATGTTGACAATGTAAGGCATATGAACTAAAGGGAGTATAGGTTGCAGTGTAGGGAGCAAATTAGAATGTAAGAGCATGTAGACCTGTGTTTTTCTATCATGAACCGTTTTCGGAGGTTGTTTTTGTTTGAGGTGTTGGCACAGCAACACACATGGAACATAACACCAACAGAGACATAATAAAGTTCACTATTATCCTACGTGAGGTAGGATTCTTACTGCTGTTTGCTCAGCTTTGCTTTTTAAACTCATTCACTCACACACTCACACACTCCTCACTCACGCACAGACATCATCGACCGAGACTTCAAACGAGAATAATCTCACTCATTACCTTGCCTTTTCCCTCCCTGCATGCACCTTTCACTGGGTAAACGAATGGTGGAGTTTGTTTAGGCATTTCTCGCCACCTGTCAACACTTCCCATTGCCCGGGACATTTACTTTATATAAATGTTTCAATGCACAGGATGGCTGAGTGTAAACGACTCAAATCATCAAATCAAATAAAAGCTTATTGGTCGCGTACACAGATTTGCAGACGTTATCGCAGGTGCAGTGGAATGCTCCAATAGTGTAGTAATAATTCCTAGCAATACAAAACAATACGTACATTATCAAGAAATTCAGAAATATCAGAAAGAGCAATGTCAGAGTCCGGAATTCAAATATACATACACCAGATATACAAAAGTATGCACACCGCCATTGCAATCTCCATAGACAAACATTGGCAGTAGAATGGCCTTACTGAAGAGCACAGTGACTTTCAACTTGCCACTGTCATTAGAATGCCACCTTTCCAACAAGTCAGTTTGTCAAATGTATGCCCTGCTAGAGCTGCCCCAGTCAACTGTAAGTGCTGTTATTGTGAAGTGGAAACTTCTAGGAGCAACAACAGCTCAGCCGCGAAGTGGTAGATACACAATCTCACAGAACGGGACCGCCGAGTGCTGAAGCGCGTACCGCTTAAAAATCGTCTGTCCTCGGTTGCAACACACTACCGAGTTCCAAACTGCCTCTGGAATCAACGTCAGCACAATAACTGTTCATCGGGAGCTTCATGAAATGGGTTTCCATGGCCGAGCAGCCACACACAAGCCTAAGATCACCATGCACAATGCCAAGAGTGTGCAAAGCTGTCATCAAGGCAAAGGGTGGATATTTGAAGATTCTCAAATACAAAAAATA